CTCATGCTTACCCTCGAGAACTGTCGAAAATGCATAGTGCCGGCGAGATAGAAGTGGTGTGCACGTCACCGCATGGTTCTATGCCAAACTTTGGCTCGACAAGGCGCAAGATTTGAATCGCCTGATATAGCCTGGTCTCGCACTGAGCCGGTGGAGGCCGATCAGCACCTATTCCCGCCCATCTGCACAGCAAATTTGAACCTTTGTTCTATGATGTCTCACAAGCAAAGTTGAAATGCTTACATGAGTCGCCTCTTGTTGTCTTTCGTGCGGCGCGATGTCTGTGAAATGCAGCTCTGAGCTTATCTCCAGATGCCACCGCAGATGGTCGGATGAGTCACGGTCGCACTGCCGAGCAACAAGCAGGTGGCTGTCATCAACCACTGTCACAGCCCTCATATCAGAGCTATGCTGGTTGTTGGATGTGCCAAGACTTGGCACGTGAAGCCCTAACAATGAATGACCTGCTATGTGGGGTGCTGCGAAGCTGATAAGCTCGATGAGTCGGCTGAAGTCTCGACTCTGACGGCAGTGTTAAAGAGTTAGCACGTGCATACGTTGCCGCAATTCGGTAAGAGTGTCTCTGAAGCAAGGAGTTCTCGTTTTCCGGCGTTGCATAGGCCGTGGACGACATGAGCGTGGTCGCCGGTGTTCGCACGTTCGCCTGTAGAATCTGTGAAAACTGTGTAGAGGAGGTAAGAAGTGTTTTGCATTGACCCATTGATGGATGCCTTCCCGCAGCCGTCTGAAAAGGTTTGCAGATTAGATTTTTTCATCAAACCTTCTCGGCATCTCAGCATCTCCGTTGAGCCATTGAGTCGGTTCGGTGCAGAGCGTTCTCAGACGTAAATCTGGAAGGGGGGTCCGATTTCCCCTTTCCAGCTGTTCCAAGAACGATATTGGAGTCACGAATCAATCCGGGGTCTCGGCCCTCCTAGCGCCTTAGGTCACGTGCGCACAGACCCCGACGGACCAGACGCCATGATGCAGGGCATCCTCAGAATCATGCCGCGTCCCTCCTCTATGCATCTTTGCCGTGGCACAGCACTCGGGCACCGCATTGTTATTCAATATCCGCAGCAAAGGGAACTTTGTTGTCTCAGCAGCAGACCGCCAGCTCAAGCTCGCTCGTCCGGAGGTGCGCAATATAAAAATTGATAGAAGGGGGGGCTCACTACATCACAAATTCCACGACCAATTCAATACTATCTATCTGCGTTACATTGAAAATGAAACCACGCGCTACTACAGCATGACGAAACCAAGCTGCATCCTGAGGTTCTGCGTCGTCGCCGGCTGGGGTGCGACGATCGGAGGCAACGCGATGTTGTACGGTGGGTCAGGGAGGACGGCGACTACTTGGTTGATTGGCGGGACGCATACAGGGGCGGGCGGAGGCGGTATGACGACGAAGGCACCTTGGGCTGGCTACGCGGCCGGCGCGACGACGGCGGGCCCTGGCGCGGTGACTGCAGGCAAGGGGAGTAACAACCGCGGCGGGCGCAGCTGTCGGCGCGTTGGCAACACTTGCCGCGTGGACTCGGTCACGGCTATCCACATGGTGAGACGGATGGCAGAAGGACGGGCGGACTGGGCTGTGCCTGCTGCGCCTAGGCCTGGGACCCTCATGATGACGCTCGTCATCGTTGTACTCGCTGGGGCCGACGGCGACGTTCTCCTTGTTCGCAGCGTGCCTCTTCCTTGTTCTCCTAGACCACCAGTGCCCTCTTCTTTTCTCTCTGGTTCTCCCTCTTCGGTGCATGTGCCCAAAGCTGTCGGCGAGAGAGCGCCCGGTAGCTGCTTGTGGCGAGTAGGGCTGAGGCGCAGTCGACGTGGCCCGAAGGTGCGTCGTATTGGAGGTGGCGTTTGCGAGACAAGGCGGCGCCTTGCCCGGCTGTATCTACTGTTTGCCGTTCCGACGCGAATTGGCCAGCGGTAGATACCGCTGTATGAGTCCCTCGCCGAACATCGTCGCCTCTGCATGCTTGGCCGCCCTGTTTGGCGACATGCGGCAGCCGACCAGGACTTGGGCGAGCTGGAGCCACGCAGGGGGCGTCAATATTCATCCAAATCGAACATCAGATAAGCGCAGCTCACCTCGGTTCTGCAGGAAAGTTGGCGGAGGGCTCACGACGTGATATTCGCGGTGCTCGGGCGGCGGCGACACGCGTCGGCGAACCGGCAGAAGCTGATTTTGCGCGTCGTCGCTGTCGTCGTCGCCGCCGTAGCCACTCTCCTTGTCACCGGACTGATCATCTTCCTCGACGTCAGACTCGGTAGCGTAGCCGTCGTCGCCACTCGCGGTGCCGAACGGCTCGGCGCGCACCCGATCTCGCTCACTCTCTTTCTGGGCGTGCACGTCGCTCATGGCGATGAGCTTCCGCCGTACGACGCCACAGAGCTCGGGATCGGGAGGCGCGTCGGATGCGAGGGCGGTGGTTACTTTGAGCCAAGGGTCGAGCCACGCAATTGACCTATCCAGGTCGTGTAATTCCGCGAGTGTGGATGCTGTAGCTGGCGAGGTGGAGGATGTGACGCG